AGCTGGGATGAAGTGAGAGAGTGGCATAGACATGTATACACTACCAAAGGTGAAATAGATAGCTAGTGGGAAGCAGCTGCATATAGCACAGGGAGATCAGCTCAGTGCTTTGTGACCACCTAGAGGTGGGATAGGGAGGATGGGAGGGAGACACAAGAGGGCGGGGATATGGGGATGTATGTATACGAATAGCTGATTCACTTTGTTATACAGCAGAAGCTAACACAACATGGTAAAACAATTATACTCCAATAAAGATGTTAACAACAGCAACAACCCCAAAAAGCTAAGTCAGTCAAGCCAACGGAGACATTGTATGTGTTTACAGTTCAAGAAATCCCGAAGAGAATCCTTTACTCTGTATGCAATGAATGGTCCATTTGAAAAGAAAAGAACTTTCTAAAATGTTGTTTTTCCATTTGTTGTTCAGAACATTTTTATACCTCTGCATTTCTTACTATTCAAAGCCAAGTCACATGAGTTATAGGGAAGCAGCAGATTGACTTAAAGTTGGGTCATGTGATTTAAAAACCAATGGCAGTTGATTGATTTAAATCCCGGTCATATGACATGAGGAGGGGGTGCTAAAAACTGCTTTTTCAGAATATCATATTTACCTTGGTTTTTCTTATGATTTAGAAAACTTGAGCTGTCTCTCCTTGGAATCATCAGGAGAAAAATAGAGTATTTCAGGTTCATTCTTGAAACCAACTTCTCACGGTAAAGGTGTATTGACTAAAAGACCTTCCTTCAAGAGGTTCCAGACCTCTGTAGGACACTTCAGTGTAATTGGAGAAAAAAGCAGAATGAAGTCAGGTCAACAGCTGCAGAGGGCAAGGCAGCCCCCAGGACTAGGGAAGGAGGAGGAGGAAGGGCTGAGAGTTGCCATTAGAGCAGACAACCTCCAGAGTGCGCTGAAGCACCGGCAGAGCCCACCTGCACTCCCACTTTGGCACTCCAGGATCAGAGTTGGGTTTGGAGGTGGGGTTGTTGTAACCCCAAGGAGGTGAGCAGAGAGGAGGGGTTGATTACCGGTCTCCTCTGACTCTCTGGCCCAAATTGCCTGGCTTCACAGCGGGGACAGAGTTTTGCTTTCAGCAACTGATGGGGCACTTCCAGGCTGGTGTGGTTGCCCAGTGGCCCGACAGCCTGACAGGCTGACTGTGGTGTGACCGCCCTTTGTTTCTCCAGAATCTGTACATCAGGAGGTGCATGGCTGTGGGAGCCCATTCACTGACCCTCCCCCCAAGGGGGATGGCACCTTTCCTGGCTGTACCCTATGATCACCAGGTACTTGAAATGAATGCAAGTTTTTTTTACTTCAAGGAAGAGCTCACATAACCCCTTTTGCCTCAGAATGTGTGGGATTTACTATAATGGAAGGACATTACAAAGAACAGGTAGAAAACTCACCTGTTGGTCTCCATGTAGGAGTTTATGTTGCACGAATCCCTCCTACATGAGTAGATAGCAGAGGTTTATTTTTGTCCCTGTGTGTGTAGTTGTGGCGGAGGATGTAGGTATGGTGATTTGAAGCCCTGAAAGAAATGTTCTCAGAATTCTCAAGACTTCTCTTGATTGGAATCGAAAGAGACCTGGAAAAGGAGGAGAGAGAACGAACGAGTGTTTCTCAGTAAATTCACCTTCTTGGTTGATTGTTCTGTCTTCTCATTTCTTTTAACTTCTATGTATGTCTAATGGAATAATGTAGAAAGGCTGATTTTTATGCTTTAAAAGATTTTACATCACAAAGAAACTAGAAGTGGCTAACAGAACTTATTCAAATCAACGTTACATAGAGACTTTGATATTAAATTTGTATACTAAAATGGGTTAATCCAAATTTTCTCTTTCTTTTTGAGTGAATATTTGTAACATATTTTTGTAGCTAATAATTTATGCTAGATATACAAAATTGTGAGAATGGGTACCATTTTTCACCACTTAAATGATTTCTTTTAAATGAATAATCGTACACTTTAAATGCCAATGTTGTGTCTTACATGTTGTTTTTTAATTCCTTGATTTCCAAAATTTGTGTTTATTTAATTGATTTCTATCTAATAATCTCCTCTTTATTGTTTCTTACTTTATATTTTATTGATCTATAGTTAATTTACATTATTATATTAGTTTCAGAGGTACAACATAGTGATTCATAAATGTTTAGGTTGTTGTCCGTTTATACTTATTATAAAAGAGTGGCTCTATTCCCCATGCTATACTGTATGTCACTGTAGATTATTGATTTTATACATAGTGGATTCTTCCTCAGAATCTCCTACTACTATTTTGCTCCTCCACCCTGTCTCTCCCTGCTGGTAACCACTAGTCTGTTCTTTAATCTGTGAGTCTGTTTTGTTGTTGTTGTTGTTGTATTCAATTTTTTAGATGCCACGTGTAACTGATAACCTACCAGGCTTGTTTTCTCTGCGGCTTATTTTACTAAGCATAATACCCTCCAAGTCCATCCATGTTCTTGCAAATGGCAAAATTTCATCTTTTGCTGAAGTCATCATAGAAAATCTTTTTTATCCCCTTATTGATGAACACTTAGTTTGACTCTGTATCTTGGCTATGGCAGATAACACTGTTATGAACATTGGTGTGCAGTTATTTTTTTGAAATAGTGGTTTTGTTTTCTTCTGATATACCCAAGAGTGAAATTGCTGGATATTATGGTAGTTCTATTTTTAGTTTTTTGTGGAACCTCCATTCTGCTTTCCACAGTAGCTGCACTACTTCACATTCACATCAAGCGTGTACAGGAGTTTCCCTTTCTCCACATCCTCACTAACCTTTGTTATTTGTGACCTTTTTGATGACAGCCATTCTGACAAGACCGAGGTGATATATCTCATTGTTTTGATTTGCATTTTATTGCCGGATTAGCTATGTTTAGCATCTTTGTGAGTTCTGGCTGTCTATCTGTACTTTTTCCTTGGAAGAATGACTATTTAGGTCTTCTCATATTTTTAAAAATGATTTTGGGTGTTGTTCTGATATTGAGTTTTATGTGCTGTTTCTGTAGTTTAGATATGAACCCTTGCTTGGTCATCTTTTTGGTGTTAACCTTTTATCATGTGCAAATATTGTCTCTCCTTCAGCAGGTGGTCTTTTCATTTTGTCTTTGGTTTCCTTTGCTGTGCAAAATCTTTTAAGTTTAGTGAAGTCCCATTTGTTTGTTTTTGCTTTTGTTTCATTTGTCTTTGTAGACTGAACCTAAAACTGTTGCTATCATTTATGTTGAAGAATGTTCTGTATTTTCCTCTAGGGGTTTTATGGTCCTATATTTAAGTATTTATTCAGTTTTGCATTGGTTTTATATATGGTGTGCTAAAATACTCTAATTTTATTCTTTTCCATGTAGCTGACCAGTTTTCCGAGTACCACTTATTGAAGAGACAGTTTTTTCTCCATATTGCCTGCTTTGTCATAAATCAATTAAATATATGTGTGTGGGCTTCCTTCTGGGATCCGTATTCTATTCCAGTGATCTTTGTGTCTGTTTTTGCTCCGGTCCAATTCTCTTTGATTACTGTCGCTTTGCAGTATAATCTGAAGTCAAGGTGCGTGATGCTTCCAGCTGTTTTCTTTCTCCACGTTGTTTGGCTATTTGGGGTCTTTGTGTTTCTATACAAATTTTAAAATTATTTTTTCAAGTTCTGTGAAAATGCTTTGGTATTCTGGTAGGGATTGCATTAAATCTGTAGATTGTCTTTGGTAGTATGGTTATTTTAATAGTATTAATTCTTTAAGTCCATGCACCTGCTATATTTTCCCATCTATTTCTGTTGCCTTCAACTTCTTTCACCAGTGGCTGATAGATTTCTGAGTACATGTCTTTTACCTGCCTAGGGGTGTTTATTCCTAAGTATCTTACTCTTTTTGGTGTGATTACATATGGTATTGTTTTCTTAATTTTTTTCTTTCTGGCAGATTTGAGTTTTGTTTTTTCTTCCTTTTCTAATTCCTTCAGGTGTAATGCTAGGTTGTCTATTTGATATTTTTCTTGTTTCCTAAGAATAAGCTTGTATCAGTATAACTTTTTCTTGTTTCCTAAGAATAAGCTTGTATCACTATAACTTCCCCCTATAACTTCCCACACTGCGTTGGCTGTGTCCCATAGATTTTGGATCATTGTGTGTTCATTTTCATTTGTCTAGGGTATTTTTAGAATCCCTCTTTAATTTCTTCAGTGTTCCTTTCTTCCCCTTTTATTCCCTTCATCTGTGATGTGAGGACTATCTTTAATATTATGTTTGGATTTCTTGCAGTTGTGTGTGTGTGTGTGATTATTTAAGCTGCTGAGCTCTTAATTTCACATGGACACTAACAACCCTGCACTGTTACTCTGCTCCCCCCACAGTTACTGAATTTTACCTTATATTTTACATCTGCTTGTTTTGTGTGTCCCTGAACTTCTTATTGTGAATATAGATGACTTTATTACTGTTTTCTTTCATCCTTTCCACTAGCTATGTACATGGTTGATTTACTGCCTTTGTTGAATGTTTGTCTTATCCAATGAGGTTTTTCCTTTAGTAAGTTTCCTTTCCTAATTTTTATGTTTCAGTCGTGGCCTTTCCTTTTTCACTGAGAAAAGCCCCTTTAAGATTTCTCATAAACCTGGTTTGGCGTTGCTGAGCTCTTTAAGTTTTGCTTCTCTGTAAAACTTTAGATCTCACCATCAAATCTGAAGGAGAGCCTTGCTGGGTAGAGTATTTTTGGTTATAGGCTTTTCCTTTTCATGACTTTAAATATACCATGCCACTCCTTTCTGGCATGCAGAGGTTATCCTGAAAAGTCAGCTGATAACTTTATGCAAGTTCCCATGTTTGTAACTTGTTGCTTTTCCTTTGCTCCTTTTAATAGTGTCTTTTTATCTTTATTTTTTTTGCCATTTTAATTACAATGAGTCTTGGTGTGGTCCTCTTTGGGTTGATCATGTTTTGCCCTTACTGTGTTTACTGGACATGGATGTCTGTTTTCTTTCCCAGGTTATGGAAGTTTTCAGCTCTTATGTCTTCAGGTATGTTCTACACTGCTTTCTCTTTCCTTTTTTGGTTCTGGGACAAGTATAATGCAAATATTAGTACACTTGATGTTGTTTCACAAGTCTGTTCAACTTTCCTCATTTCACTTTAATCTATTGTTTTACCGTTCATCTTTAGTGATTGCCAGTACTCTGTCCTTCAGTTTTCTGATTCATTCCTCTGTATCATTTAGTCTACAGTAGTTTCCTTTTAGTGTATTTTTCATTTCAGTTCTTGTATCCCTCATCTCTGTTTTGTTTTTCATTAATGGTCTAACTCTTTTTAAAAAAATTCTAACTTCTTGCTCTGGTCGTCCATTCTTCTCCTGAGTTTTTTGATCATCTTTATAGTCATTACCTTGAACTGTTTGTTGAGGATATTGGCTATCTCCACTTCACTTAGATCTTCTTCTGAGTTCTTATCTCATTCCTTCATTTGGATCATGTTTCTGTGTCACCTCATTTTACTTAACTTGCTGTTTTTATTGCTATGTATATAGTAGGCTCATTACATTTCCTGACCTTGGAGAAGTGGCCTTTTGTAAGAGAGGTCCTATGTGTCCCAGCAGCCCACTGTCCCCTGGTCACTAGAACTATATGTTCAAGGTGTACCCCCTGTGTGGGCTGCTTGGGCTCTTCTTTTGTGGTGGGCTGACTACTGTGGGTGGTCTGGTAGCCTTGGCTGCCCCCAGAGTGCATGTTTGCCAGACTCTGCCTAGTACGGAAGCTGTCTGTGCTGCTTGGTGAGGCTAAATCATAAGGCAGCTGGCTGTACAACTCTGGGGGACACCACATCTAGTGCTGGATCACTTATGGGTTGAACTGCAGTCCAGGTGATTTCAGGGCTAGTGCCCAGTCCCTGGTCCTGGGGCTATGCTGGCTACTGGGAGGAAGACACAGGTCCTGAGTTCTGGCTGCAGGGCCCAGGAGTTGCAGAGTTGGCGTTGGATCACTGTCCCTGACACAGCTATCTGCAGGGTCTGGGGTATCCCTAATCTTGTGTTGGCATTCTGATGGGCAGGGTCAGGACCAGCTGAGTCCATGGCTGCTTCTGGCCTGCAGGTGAGTGTTCTGGTCACACACGCTGCTGGAATGTGGTATTCCTGGAGCTGGTGTGTGCCTGTTGGTGTATGAGGCTGATCCCACTGATAGAGCAGGTTTGCTGTTGGGTAGGTCCAAGCTCCATGCAGTCCCTGTTCAGTAATCACCTGCTGATGGTGAGGCTGATTCCACGGCCAGAGCAGTTAACCTGGTGATCCTGTGGAGCATGTTTTAGAAAGGGAGAGGGTAGAGATGGAAACAGCAGTCAGAAGACAGTTATACCGATCTAGGTGAAATGAGAGACTAAGCTGGAATCAATGGAAATAAGATAGTCAGCTATCGTCAAGAGTAGGTATTTTCGAATAAAAGTCAATATGATAGAAAGTGTAATCCTGAATTAACATTACATATTAATCATAGGAGTAACTTCCTTTCAAGTTGTGTGAAAGGGTATCTTTTATTTCTTCTGGTAATGAATTGGCGTAGAAAAACAGAACTATACTGGGAAATGTGTAAATATAAGAATATTCCTTCTAATATTAGAAATTATAATGATATATAGAGATAAAACCTTTGAGCTCATAATCTAGAATTTGAGAAGACCACAAAAGTTGGAATCTAATCAATGCCTCTGCTCTCAGGAAAGATTACCTCCAAAATCTATAAAGATCTGTAGTTGTATATTTAATTTATGAAGATCCTGAAGGTGAGACTCTTAAGAGAGGTGAAGGCAGGGTTAGGGGCTCTGGAAGGTTCAAATAGTAATTCGTAAGGTTTGGAGATTAGAACAAAGCTGCTTATTTATTATAATCATTCTAACTTCTACTAGTTATTCTTACTAATTAGATATCTAATAGCTAATTGAGGCAATATTTTCCTTTTACATTTCCTAGAGATTTATCCTACAATAAAATACAGACTATCGAAAGACGTACATGTGAACCACTACCTTTTTTGCAGTTTATGTAAGTTACAAATATAACTTCATTATATTTGGAATTTTTATAAAGCTTAATTTTTTATAAGATTAGTTTGTTACTCAATTTGAAATAAGAATAAATTACTACTAAAATTATGTAGCAAATCCTTTTTGTCTCTAGCAAAGATTAGTGTGAGAATTATTACACAGATCAGAGGAATCTTTATGGAGCAATGGTTCTCAACTAGGGTGATTTTTGCACTCAGGTGACATTTGGTAGTGTCTGGAGATATTTTTCCTTGTCAGAACTGTATATGGTACTGGCATCTAGTGAACAGAGGTCAGAGATTCTACTAACCATCCAACTGTTCAAGGAAGCCTCCCACAGCAAAGAATTATCCAGCCAAAAATGCCAAGAGTGCTGCCTTTCTAGAAAAATAAAGATCACTTAACACAAGTATTTAATGAACATTTACTATTTTCTATCTAATGCACCACATATATAATCATGAAAGTATAAATCATAATATCTTCCACAGTGAGATTTCTTTACTGTATGGAGGGAGTAGTGATGTTATGTTTCATCATATATAAATTAGAATTATTGCCGAAGGATAAATGTTCTGAAAGAATATATATTTTTATTCTTCTTTTGCTTCTGTCTTTTTTTGTAGAAATCTTGGTTGCAATTTACTCACAGAACTGAGCTTTGGAACATCCAGGCCTGGCATGGAATGCAGTTTTTCCACAAGTAGTAAGTGAAATAGAAGATGAATACATGTAAAAAACTGTGTATAAAAACATCATGCAGTTATTGGTTAGCTGGGTGTAAGACCAGTATGAATTCTGGAAAACATGTCTTGAGAGCCATTTATTTTATTTTTTCAAATGAGGAAACTAAGGAACAAAGAGGCCAAGAGACTTGTTTAACTCATATATATGAAACGCTCTGCTTTCCATAGTACTGATCTTTGGCACGGGCAATAAAAGGCACCAAGCAAAAACACTCAAATTAGCATTGTCATGGAATCCCACTGATGCCTCTCCAATATGCGAATAGTCCATGAAGTTCCACTTTTGAATTTAACTTTGAATCCTCCTCATGTGCAATGTTCCAAACTGCTTAAAATGTATGCAACACAGAGCTGCAAAGAACTAAGTTTAGCACCGAATTCTTCAGAGAGAAAAAGCTGTGGGTGCTTCCCCAACCATTATTAGCTCTTTTAAATGGTAAAGCAGAAAGAATTCCTGAACACCCATCGCATGGCTCTCCCCAGCCAACCAGAACATTATTTTTCAAAAAGCATATATCTCTGAAGTGAATTATCTGTGGCCAATAGGAACCTTTGAGGTATGGAAAAAGATGTTGTTTGTGTTCAGCTGTAGTGTGAAAAATATAAAGAAAATACATTGCTGTAGCCTAATACAATATACTTTCTTTGCTGACTACTCTTCAATAGGAAGTGTGGGTTGTACACCCCTTCAGCTCAGAAATTCTGTGATTTCTCATGACACAAGGAAATGATAGAGGGTACGTTCAATGGCCCGAAGGTGATTTCAGACTCAAGGTAAAAAAGAGCTCTTCTACACCTGACTTTGGAAAAGACTCTCTTACTTGTCTTGTGGTTCAGAAATCCAGTTTCACACAGTTCACACATTTTGGGTTAATGAAGGTGTTGAGGCTGTGTCTGGAGCTGGATTAGCAATTCCTGCAGATGCCTATCTTTAGCGCCCTCCTTCCTTTCCCTTGTTAGTTTGCTGATGCCTACCTTGGGGAGATAGCACCAAGGGTCAGTTTTTCTTTTCCAGCGCACTGGAGAGCAGGCTCATGAGGTCCCTTCACCAGGAGGTTTTAGTAAAGTCAATAAAACGTCTGAAACTCACCAACTTTCCTAAACATCCTATAACAGCAAGAGTTCCTTGTAAGAATCAGAGTTTCGCTGTAGTTATGTAGGCAACACGGGAAAATACATTGTGGTAATAAATAAATAAATCACAGTTTAAAAATTAATGAATTCATTCAAAAATGTTCACTGAGTGCCATGCCCACTGTGTGTCAGCACTGTACTAAGTGCTGGGGATACAAAGACGCATAGGACAGGGACTTTCTCCCCAAGAGACTTTCATACTGGAAGCAGAAAGATGGATGTTGATGGCAAAACATATATGAGAGCTATTCGAGCATCTATGCAGCAGGGTAACAAGGTGTGGGACGGGGGTGATGAAGTAGAAAATGCATGGTAGGTTAGAAAATATTTGTAATGGAAGAGGCGCCAACTTGTTCCTTTTGAATTTGTGTTCCTCTTAAATGACAGAAAGAGGTAGTGAAAGAATCAGATCTATCTGATGTTGTAAATAAATTAGTACTGTACTCCTAAAACTCGTTCACAGTTACTTTCAAAATATTTTCACAGGGCTTCCCTGGTGGCGCAGTGGTTGGGAGTCCGCCTGCCGTCGCAGGGGACACGGGTTCATGCCCCGGTCCGGGAAGATCCCACAGGCTGTGGAGCAGCTAGGCCCGTGAGCCATGGCTGCTGAGCCTCTGCGTCCGGAGCCTGTGCTCCGCAACGGTAGAGGCCACAATGGTGAGAGGCCCGCGTACAGCAAAAGAAAAAAAAAAAAAGATTGTCACAGTATAGTAAGTCTTTGTTTTGGGATAAGTCTTTCTAATAGACATAGCTAATTTGCTTCAGGAAGCATTTGCCATGGTGAGATATAAACTTTATTGCATCTCTTTCCAAAGGCTAGCCACCAAGGGAAGATGCCACCCTCGAGTTAAGTCATTTTACTACCTATAATGACATATTACTGGGGTGTTTATAAGTTGCCTACATTAAATAAGTTTGGAAAAGGGCCCCAGCTGAGGTGGATTTATCATGAATTCAATGAAGCTTAGGCTTCAGGGCTCCTCACTTGCAGAGGTCCCTTCCAAGGTCTTGAGAGGGGTCCTAGCGATTTTTGTATTCATAATTTTGCATGTTTTTATTAGATAGGATTTTCCAAAGTAGGTGAGCTTCAGGCCCCACAAAACCTTGATTCATCAGCGGGTTTCAGGTAATTATAAGTCAGTAGGTTTCTTGACTGAAGCCTCTATGTTATTGACAAACATCAGGTGAAGTAGTTAGCAGTGTGGTAGTCTATTTTATATCTGAAATCAACCTCAAAAATGAGCCAAGAGCCTATTAATTAATAAAGTACCACTTTTTGAATGCTGGTAGTAATCATATCTCTTTCAGATAAAATCAGGAATGAAATATATTTTGGAAAATCAATAGTGGTTGATAATCCTAAATGTTAAGTATACTTTTTTTTCTGACTTCAAAGTGTTTCTGCTTCATTCACCTATGAAGGTCCAGACTGATGGCTTATTTTTAAAAAGTCTTTTAGTCACTTCATTGGTTCTAACAATACAAGCTCCGTGATTTTAGAAACTGTGGGACTGTACAATGTAGAAAGGCTATATAACTTAACCAGACAGAGCACATTCACATGCTGCCTTCTCTGTGGTACATTAATATGGTACCAAGGGCTTCCCTGGTGGTGCAGTGGTTGAGAGTCTGCCTGCTGATGCGGGGGACGCGGGTTCGTGCCCCAGTCTGGGAGGATCCCGCATGCCGCAGAGCGGCTGGGCCCGTGGGCCATGGTCGCTGGGCCTGCGTGTCCGGAGCCTGTGCTCTGCAGCAGGAGAGGCCGCAATAGTGAGAGGCCCGTGTACCGCAAAAAAAAGTAAAAATAATATGGTACCAGGAACATAAGCACTAAGAGAGAATAAGGGGAAAAGCAAAGCCTTATCCCTATTGAATTATTTATCTCATTGTTGAGAATATCAGTAAGGGAGGTGTGGCCACACTGTGAAGGCAAATTGAGCCCTAATGCTCCCCCAGTCAGCTAGCGCTGGTTTCCTTTAGATAGCTATGTACACACAAAAGTTTACACACTTCAGGGTGCTGTCATCACTTTTTGCTATGTACTAGAATCCTAGCACCTTCTCAGATTTAGAAAAGCATTAACGCTAAAAACAAAAATAACTTGGGTCTGCCCTTTGGGGTGATTCAGGGTGGCTGTTTTATTTGTAGTAGTTCAAAATTTTGAGATTGTCACACCTAGCAACTACTATGCTTTTCTTCTCCCAACTGCCTCTTATTCTTCCCACCTGTAGTATTTTCTCCCATTCTATATGTTTTTTCACTTGCTTGATAGTGTTCTTTGAAGCACAAACTTTTTAATTTTTATAAAATCCAATTCATCTATTTTTTCTTTGGTTGTTTGTACTTCTGGTATCATATCTAAGAAACTATTGTGTAATGCAAGGTCATAAAGATTTAGCCCTCTGTTTTCTTCTAAGAGTTTTATAGCTTTACCTCTTACATTTGGATATTTGATCCATTGGGAGTTTATTTTCATGCATGGTGTGAAGTGTAGGAGTCCAGCTTCATTATATTGTGTGGGGATGTACAGTTGTCCCAGTATCATTTGAAAAGACTGTTCTTTCCACGTTGAATTGTTTTGGTACACTTGTTGAAAATCAATAGACCATAAATATGAGGGTTTATTTCTATAATGTCTATTCTGTTCCATTGATTTACATGTCTGTTCTTATTCCAGTACCACACTGTGATTGCAGTAGCTTTGAACTGAGTATTGAAACCAGGATGTGTGAGTCCCTCACTTTGTTCTTTACCAACATTGTTTTGGTTATTCTGTTTCCTTGAATTGCCATATGAATTTTAGAATTAGCTTGGCAATATCTGGAAAGATATCAGCTGAGATTTTGATAGGAATTTCAATGGAACCAGAAGTCAATTTGGGAAGTAGTGACATTTTAATGAGATTATCTTCCAGTCCATGAATCCGGCATGTCTTTATATTTATTTAGATCTTCTTCAGTTTCTTTCAACAGCTTTGTACGTTTCAGTGTGAATCTTGCACTTACTTGGTTAAATTTTTCCCTAAGTATTTTATTTCTTTTGGTGCTGTTACACATGGAATTGTTTTCTTAATTTCATTTTTGGATTACTCATTGCTGGTGTGTAGAAATAATATTTATCTTATATCCTACAACCTTGATGAATTCTTTTATTAATGCTAACAGTTATTTTCCTAGATTCCCAAGAATATGTCTTGTGGTCTTCCAGTTTCCCAGGAATACATTGGCACATTTCAAAGTCTCTGTGGACATCTCATTCCTCAGCTTTTCTTTTTAAGCTTTTTCGCTGGGCTGTTTATTGCCCCAAACTGTTATCCATCGCCTCATGCAACCGCCATGTTAAAATATTTCTTGAAATTGTTTTCCAGGAATGCAACCTGAGTAACGGCTTTTCTCACTAGACAGCTCTCAGTCAGGTCAAAGGGCAAGCCTTTCAACTGATGTCTTCCAGGGGACCACCAGACATGTAAAACAGTGACATTTCTTTGGGAATGAGGCTTTGAAGGACCTCCCAGTCCATGCTGCTCCTTCTGGTACCAGGGATGTGGGCTGTTTTTCAAGGCTACCACTGGCATGGAGAGCAAAGGTCAAGGACAAGTTCAAGCAACACAGATCTCATTGTTCTTACAGAAATTAATTTGTTTTCCTTGAATAACTTGCTCCCCAATGTGTTGCAAGTCTGTTGGTTAAATTTCCAGAGTTCAGAAGAAGTTGATTCTGACGATTTTTGCCAGCTTCGTTGTTGTTGTTGTTATTGTTGCTTCTATGGAGGGATGAATTTTCAGATGCCCTTCCTCCATCATTTTATTACTGATTTTCCTGCAATGTTTTTTAAAATCTCTAAAGTCTCAATGACCATAGGCTAATTAAATATTTATCATGGGAGATGATTAAGGAAAAAATAAATAAAAAGAAAAATAAATAAATAAATAAAAAGAGAAAATAAATTCTCATAGAGGCTTTCCCAGATGGGTAGATGAAGTTTGAAAAGGTATTTCTATACTTAGTGCTCTCCAAATTAAGATTAAAGTGACAGATATTTTAAACCCCCCCTTTTTTTTTCATTCATGTTAAACACAGGCTTTAGAGTCAGAACTGAGTTCAAATTCTAGCTCTGCTTCTTACTAGCTTGATGACTTAGGACAAGTTATATAACTTCTCTGTGCCTCTGTTTCCTCATTTGTACAATGGGGTACTATATCTATCACATAGGTTACTGTGAGGATTAAATGTTAAATGCTGATCACAGAAGCCTGGGAACCCAAAAGATATTAGTTTTGATGATTATCTTTATAATATTCTGCAAAAGTACACTAATAATTCTTGAGTAGAGTTAAGCTAAAGTCAGATATTTTCTTTCTTCCTGTTTCTTTTGGGTTTTTTTTATCCCTTATTTGTTTTACAGAGCAAAGGAAAAAAAAAAAGAAGAAAGAAAGAACTAAGAAGAAAATCTATTCCAGCACTTTGGAATAAAATTTTGTTCCCAAAAATTAATTTGTTTATTTTATTGATATATAAAGAAAATGTTATTTATTTATTCAGCAAACATTTATTAAATACCTAGTAAATATATAGCCACTATGTCAGGCACAGGAATAATAATGAGAATAAAGTGTGGTCCCTGCTCTGAAGTTGCTGACAATCTAGGAGACTGACAAGTAAACCGGTGATTACATACACAGTAACAAAGGCTATAATACTAGAATACACATGGGACTATGTGATGGTAGTTTGGGTTTCACCAGTTCCTCTTGGATTTATCTCTTCTTCTTTGGCTCCAGAACCAAGGAATTAGACCTATTTTTGTCTTTAACTGGGTAGTTTAAATCATGAAATTTTCAAAAATATTGTAGAGATGTAAGAAATCACTTTGAATTATGGAGGACACTAGAAATAGTAATTTTTTACAGAGAAAGGGCCTCCTACCAGTATAGTCGCTTTGAGGGTTTTGAACCTGTAAAGTTCTTTGCCATATTTTTTCTATGCTAGCCACTTTTTTTCTATTTTTTTCTTTGTTTCTCTTCTCCACTCTATCATCTAGAGACCTGCCTTCTTCCCAATGAAAGGGTGTTTTGCAAATTCTAATGATGATTTATAGGTAAAGAGAGAAAATGATTTTTTTTTAACCTTCAAGTTACATACCAAGAAAAATGAATATAAGCTTTCATGGAAGTAATTGAAAATGCAGATAATTTTAATTCCATTCCATTTTTCAGAATTCTCAATCATAATCCTTTGACCACAGTTGAAGATTCTTATCTTTTTAAATTGCCAGCATTAAAATATTTGTAAGTATTGCAACAGTTTCATGGCTCTTGAGATAATTTCTGCTCCTTCTTTCTTTCGTCAAAGATTGAGTACTTTGGCTAAAAAGTCATAATTTAGATTTTAACTGGGTTATTGAAAATAAGAGTTACTGGCAAAGAAAAGGATTAAGAAAGAACATATACGGGTAAGACAGCCAGCAGAGAATGAGGACAGTGTTGAAGAACACATATAGTTATGAAGATGTAGATGCGTGTAGGAATATTATTTATCCCAGAAAGCAAAAAGGAATAAGGGGTACATTATTTTTTTAAAAAAACAGTGATCAAAGAGGTAGATGCAATTGAAAATGAGAAGCTAGGATAAGAAAAAATGATTGTGCTGTTCAGCACCAAGGTCATTCATTTGATGATGCAAATTTAAGTTTCTTCAATAAGATCTCTTTGGAATTATCATCTATGGCAAGTCAGAAGCCAGAATTGAAGTAATCACATGTTAAGTATCTTTTTATGTTTAGAATTTTTGTCTTTGGGTTTTATATCATGCATGTTTGGGCTTCTCCTTCAGAGACATGGGAACAACACAAGTGTCACTTACAACAATTGAAAGCATCCTCATGATGACCCTGGAATTGGAAAAACTGTAAGTTGATTTCTCTGACATTTATTTTCACTCATTTCTTTTTTTTAGGTTTGTTTTATTATTTTCTTAAGTCAGGTTTACTTATGTATAATTTTCATTTAACAAAATTCACTATTTTTAAATATACAGTGTGATGTGTTTTGACAACCATACAGTTCTGTAGCCACCACCACATTTGAGGTAAAGAACATTTCTGCACTCCCAAAAGACCCCTCATGTCCCTTTGTAGTCAATCCATCCTCCTCCCACTATCAGCCCCTGGCAACAACCATTCTGATTTTTGTCCATGTAATGTTGCCTTTTCCAGAATGTCTTATAAATGAAATAATGTGGAACGTAGCCTTTTGTTTTTGGCTTCTTTCACTTAGCCAGTCTCTTTGGAGATTTATCTGTTTTGTTGCACCTGTCAGTATTTCATTCCTTTTTATTGCTGAGCAATATTCTAGTTGTGTAGATACACAGTTTTTTAACACATTCAGTGATTGATGAACATTTGAGTTTTTTCTAGTTTTTTGGCAGTTTTGAACAAAGCCTCTGAAAACATTCGCACGTGTGTGTGAACATATGTTTTGTGCGAGCATATGTTTTCATTTTTGGGGGGTAAAATACTTAAGGTTGGGATTGCTTCATCATATGCTCAGTGCATATTTAACTTTTTAAAAAACTGCTAAACAGTTTTCTAAAGTGACTGTGCCTTTTTGCTTTCCCAGTAGCAGTTTATGCGCGTTTCAGTTGCTCCACATCGTCACCTGATCCTTATATTTGTTTTTAAAAAAAATTTAGCCTTTCTCGTAGGTGTGTAGTTGCATCTCGTGGTTTTTGCCACATTTTGCATTTCTGTAATAGCTGATGATGTTGAGTGTCTATTATGTGCAAACATCTTTTTAAATGAAGTGTCTGTTCAAATCCATTTTTAAATTGGATATTTATATTGAGTTTTAAGAGTGCCTTATATAAAAAGCAATGGAAAAAGTCATTTCTCTCAGATATGTGTTTAGTAAATATCTTCTCCCAGATTGTGACTTATCTTCATTGTATTACAGTGTCTCTGAAGACTAGAAGTTTTAAATTTTTGATGAACTCTAATTTAGCAATTTTTCTTTTTTTTCATATTTATTTAATTTAATTATTTGGCTGTTCTGGGTCTTAGTTGCGGCAGATGGACTCCTTAGTTGCGGCTCATGGACTCCTTAGTTGCGGCTCATGGGCTTCTTAGTTGTGGCATGCATGTGGGAACTATTTCTCTGACCAGGGATCGAACCCGGGTCCCTGCATTGGGAACTCATAGTCTTAACCACCAGGGAAGTCCCTTAGCCATTTTTCTTAGATGGTTTGTGCTTTTTTGTGTCTTATCTAAGAAATCTTTGTCTGAGACCCCATTGTCTAACCCAAAATCACAACGATTTTCTCCTGTGTTTTCTTCCAGAAGTTGTATAGTTCCATTTAGGTCTATGATTCATTTTGAGTTAATTTTTATATATGATGTGAGGGAAGGGTCAAGTTTCATTTCTTTGCATTTTAAAAACTATTTCTGTAGGATCCTATTGTGACAGTTTATTTCACAACTTACTGCACCTTAAACTGTGCCATCCCCCCTCCAATATGGCAAGCTATTAGCAACTTTCTGTTATGCCAAGGCTAGGTGAGGGGATTGCATGAGATTAGTATGCAGAAAGGGCCCTGCGTTTATCAGTCTGTTCCAACTGTCTTTGTCAGGTCAGCTGACAAATCAGTGTCTTCACCACGCCATCACACATTGGTCACTGCTGTAGCCTCGTCTTCCTCAGCCTCCAACAGCATCTGCCACAATTGCGATCCCTCTCTTGTCAGCTACATGCCCTCCTCTCTGGATATTAAAAATTATTTCCCTGTGTAGCTACAATACTGTTAACACACAGTATTGAAGAAATTAAATTCCTACACAATGACATTACCTTATAAAGAGTTGCTATTCAAATTTCCCCAGTTGTCTCTCTCATATAATATTTCTTTTAACAGCTTTTTGAGGTATAATTGACATACAATAATATGTGTTCACACACACACATATATAAACACCATGAAGACATCACCAAAATCAAAATGTCCATCTCCTCAGAAAGTTTCTTAACCTCTCTTTGTAATTCTTCCTTCCCATTGTTCCTTGAACTTCCCAATCACCATGCAACCATTGGTCTGCTTTCTGTTTGCATTTTCTAGAATTTTATGTAGATGGAATCATACAGTGTATACTTTTTTGTAACTGGTTTCTAACTCAGCATGATTATTTTAATCTTCATCCATATTGTTGTATATATCAGTAATTCATTTCTGTTTATTGCTGAATAGTATTGCATTATATTGATGAACCACAATTTATCTATTCACCATTGATGAACATTTGAGTTGTTTCAGTCTTTGTCTATTACAGATAAAGTTGCTATGAGTATTGGTGTACAAGTCTTTGTATGGATGTATACTTCCATTTCTCTTGGGTAAATACCTGCAAGTAGAATGGCTGGATCATTGGTAAGTGTATGTTGAAGTTTTTAAAAATACCTATTTTCCATAGTGGTTTGATCATTTTACATCTCTAACAGCAGTGTATGAGAGTTGCATTTTCTTCACGTTGCGGCCAACACTTGCTATGCTCAGTGTTTTTAATTTCAGATAGTTTAATAGGTGTGTAGTTGTGTCTCACTGTAGCATCCCTAATGATTAATCATGTCAAAAGTCTTTTCATATGCTTATTTTCCATCTGTGTATGTTTGTATCTTTTATCTATATTTTTCTGGAGTTTTGAGAGTTCTTTATATATTCTGGAAATTAGTCCTTTATCCAATATGTAAGTTGCTAAGTATTTTATCCCATTCTATGCCTCATCTTTCCGTTCTCTCAGGAGTGTCTTTTGCAGGGCAGAAATTCTGAATTTTGATAGTGTCTAATTTATCTGTTTTTTTCTTTCATGGATTATGCTTTTGGTGTTGTATCTAAGAAATCTTGCCTAACTCAAGGTCATAAAATTTTTCACCTGTTTTGTTCTAGAAGTTTTATACTTTTATGTTTTACATTTAGATCGTTGAACTAATTTGAGTTCATTTCTGTATATGGTTTGGATGGAAGTTTTTTTTCTGGTTTTTGCACCTGGATATTCAATTGTTCCAGCATCATTTGGTGAAAAGACTATCGTCTCTCCACTTAAATGCCTTTGAACCTGAAAGTCATTTGTCCACATCTCTCTACTTCTGAACTTTCTATTCTCTTCCTTTGATCTTTTTGTCAATCTTTACACTACTATCACAATGTCTTGAAAGTGTTACTTCATAAGCCTAGAAATCAGTTACTATTAGTTCTTCAACTTTGTTCTTTTTCAACATTGTTTTAGTTACTCTAAATTTTATTTCCACATGAATTTTAGAATTAGCTTGTCAATTTCTATAGAAAATCCTACTGGTATTTTGATCTATAAATCAGTTTGGGGAGCAATGATGTGTTAACAATATTGAATCTTCTGATCCATGAATACATTTTATCTCTTCATTTATTTAGGTCTTCCTTAATTTCCCCCAGCAATATTTTACAGTTTTCACTGTGCAAGTCTTTTACATGTTTTGTCAGATTTATTCTAAATATTTTATATGTTTGATTCTATTATAAGTAGTATTTTAAAACTTTGATCTCTGTTGACATAAATTAATCTTTTTGTATGTTCATCTTGTACCCTGCAAACTTGATAACCTCATTTATTAGTTCCAGTAGCAATTTTGTAGATTCTATCAGGTTTTCTACATAATCATGTTATCTGGAAATAAACATAGGTTTAGTTCTTCTTTTCCTTTCTGAATATCTCTTTTATTTTTGTTGCCCTATTGCACTGGCTAGAACGTTCAGTGCAATGTGAAATAGAAATAATGAGAGCAGACATCCTTGCCTTTGTCCTGATACTAGCGAGCAAGTTCTTTGTCCTTCACCATTAAATATGATGTTAAGTTTTTTGTAGAAGTCATTTATCAAGTTGAGGAAGTCTCCTTCCATTCCTCGTCTACTGAGGGCTGTTTTTTTTTCTTTAATCAGGGATGGATGTTAGATTTTTTTCATTCTTTTCCTGCATCTATTGCAATGATTATGTGGCTTTTCCCTTCTTTTGTTTTCTTAATTTGTTTATTTATTTTTGGGCTGTATTGGGTCTCCATTCCTGCACACAGGCTTTCTCTAGTTGTGGCGAGCAGGGACTACTCTTCATTGCAGTATGCAGGCTTCTCATTGCGGTGGCTTCTCTTGTTGCAGAGAACGGGCTCTTGGTGCACGGGCTTTACTAGTTGTGGCACGTGGGCTCAGTAGTTGTGACGCACGGGCTCTAGAGCTCAGGCTCAGTAGTTCTGGTGCACGGGCTTAGTTGCTCCGTGGCATGTGGGATCTTCGCTGACCAGGGGTCAAACTCATGTCCCGTGCAGTGGGACGTGGATTCTTAACCACTGCCCCACCAGAGATGTCCTGATTTTTCTTTTTTAGTAAATTGATTTTCTAATATTAAACCAACCTTTCATTCTTGAGATAAACCCCACTTGGTCATGATGTATCATCTTTTTATATATTATTGGATTTGATATGCTAGAATTTTAAGATTTTTTGCCTCTGTGTTCATGAGAGATATTGGTCTATAGTTTTCTTGTAATGTCATTGTCTAATCTTGATACGGTGAATGTTGGCCTTATAAATAAGTTGGGAAGTATTCCCTTCTCTTCAACTTTCTGGTAGAGTTTGTGTAGACTTGGCATTATTTTATTCCTTAAATGTTCAGTAGAATTTATCAGCTAAGCCACCTGGACTTGAAGGTTTCTTTGTTGGAAGGTTTTAAACTGCACACCCAATTTCTTTAATATCTGTATTCTTGAATAAACTTTGGTAGTGCATGTGTTTCAAGGAATTTGTCCATTTCATCTTGAATTTATTGGTATAAAGTATTCTATATATTCTATTATCATCCTTTTAATATCTATAGTGTTTTTCTGTTTTCCATTTTATTTATTTCTACTTTGATCTTTATTGTGTTGTTTCTTCTCTTACTCTGTGATTAATTTGCTCTCGTTTTTCCAGTTTAAGGTGGAAGTTGAGGAAGCTGAGTACCACGTTAGCAATATCCCACATGTTGACATATTATGTTTTCAGTTTCAGTGAGTTCAAAATATTTTCTGTTTTCCCTTTTGATTTCTTCTTTGACCACAAAGTTACTCAGAGGAGTGTTGTTTAATTTCCAAATATTAGGAGCTTTTTCGGATTTGTTAACTTCTAATTTAATTCCATTGTGGTCAGAGACATATATTGAATGACTAAAATCCTTTCAAATTTTTTTAAAGTATTTTTTTAAATTAGTTTTTTCTGCGTTGGGTCTTTCTTGCTTCGCCTGGGCTTTCTCTAGTTGCGTCAAGCAGGGGCTGCTCTTCGTTGCAGTGCATTGGCTTCTCATTGGATGACTTCTCTTGTTGCAGAGCACAGGCTCGGCTCTAGGTGCGTGGCCTTCAGTAGTTGTGGCACACAGGCTCTAGAGTGCAGGCTCAGTAGTTGTGCCGTACGGGCTTAGTTGCTCCACGGCATGTGGGATCTTCCCGGACCAGGGATTGAACCCATGTCCCCTGCATTGGCAGGCAGGTTGTTAATCATCGAAGCACCAGGGAAGTCCCAATTCCAGTATTCTTAATCTTTTGTGTAGATCCATATTCCAATATGGTGTCATTTTCCTTCTGCTTAAAAATACATCTTTTAACATTTCTTAAAGTGAAAGTCTACTAGTAATGAGTTCTTTCAGCTTTTGTATGTTTGAAACAGTCTTTATTTTGCTTTTGTTTTGATGCATCTGGGTATAGAATTCTAGCTTGATAGAATTCAATTCACTACTTTAAAGATGTTATTCCACTGAGTTCTCATTTACATTGTTTCCAGCAAAAATTCTGCTGTCATTGATATCTTTGTTCCTCTCTATGTAGTGTATAGGTTTTTCCTCTGGCTGCTTTTAAATTTTTCTCTTTATTGCTGGTTCTGAGTAATTTGATTATTTTTTGTGCCTTGGTGTAGTTTTGTTCATGTTTCTCATGCTTAAAGTTCATTGATCTTGACTTTGTGGCTTTATAGTGTTTACCAATTTGGAAAATTTTTGGCTATTACTTCTTCAAATTTTTGCATTTCTCCTCTCCTTCATGGACTCTAAGTTCACGTGTATTAGGCCACTTGAAGTTGTTGCACAGCTCACTGATGTTCTATTCATTTTTGTTGTTGTTTTGTTTTGTTACTCTTTTTGTTTCATTTTGGATAGTTTCTATTACTATGCCTTAATGTTCACTGACCCTTTCTTCTGCAGTGTCTGCCATTAATCTGCCATTAACCTCATTCAGTGTCTTTTTCATTTAGCCATTGTTTTTAATCGCTAGAAGCTCAATTTGGGACTGTTTTCCGTGCCTGTACTTAACATTTTCAGTGTTTTGTCTGGGTTTTTGAACATATGAAATACAGTTATAATAACTTTTCTTCATGTGTAAAAACTTTTAAAATGTTCTTTTCTGCCAATTCTAACATCTGTATAGATTATGGGTTAGTTTTGATTGATTGCCTTTTCTCCTCACTATGGGGCATATTTTACTACTTCTTTGCAGGCTTGGCAATATTTCATATGATCCCAGATGTTGTGAGTTTTACTTTCTTGTGTGCTATATATATTTATATTCTTGTAAAATGCTTGGGCTTTGTTATGGGTGGAATTAAGTTACTCAAAACAATTTTATTCTTTTAGGTCTAGCTTTTAAGATTCGTTGGGTAGGAGTCTAAGTAGCCTTTAGTGTGGAGCTCATTATTTGAAACTACTGAGACAAGTCTTTTCTGAGTATCATGAGGTTTTCCAGTTTGACTTGTAAGAACAGGTACTATTCCTACAACCCTGTGTGATATCCAGTTATTCTTCTTATTAATCCTTTCATGTGGTTCTTTTCCTGGCATCAAGTAATTCCTCACACAAATGTACTGACAAATACTTTGTTGAATTCTCAGGAGATCCCTCTGCATATCTCCAGACTTCTTTGTCTGTGCAGTTCTTTTCTTTCTGATAGTCTGCTTTGTGAACTCTAGTTACTTTGATTTTCCCAGACACTCAGCTCCATTTCCTCAGTCAGGGAATCCACCAGTCTCTGCCTGGACTTCTCTTCCCTGTACCATGACCTGGAAACTCTCTCAGAGAAGTAAGCTAGGGCAGTTGTAGGGATCACTTCATTTATTTCCCATCTCCTGGGGATCACTGAACTTTATTGCCAGAGGTCCAGTTTCTTGAAAACTGTTGTTTCCTGTGTTCTGTCTAATGATTTCATTGTTTCAGGTGGGAGGTTAAATTGGTCCTTGTTACTTCATCTTGGCCAGAATCCAATAACATTCTTTAAGTGTGTTTTGCTTTGATACAGGGTCCAATTAAGATTAGGCATTGCATGTTATGTCTTTTTTTCCTTTAATCTAGAATATTTCCCTACTATGTTTTTTTTGGTCTTTTATGACATTGGCATTTTTGAAGAGTCTAAGCCAGTTGTCTTGTAAATTGCCCCACAATCTGGATTTGTCTATTTCTTCATTAGATTCAAAGTAAGTATTTTGGGGAAGAATACTACGTAGGTGATGTATTCTTCATACTTCATCAGTTCAGGTGGCCCAGTGCTAAGTTTGATCACTTGATTAAGGTGGTATCTTCCATATCTCTCCATTGTAAAATTATTTTTCCACTTGGTAATTGATAAGTCATATGTGGGGTGATCCTTTGGGATCAGTAAAGATCCTACTTTCAAACAACTCTTCATCCAGCTGTGCATCAATGATAATCCTTGTCTGAATCGATTATTATACTGATAGATGCAAAATGACACTTTCCTAATTCTATCATTCCTTTTGCATTTATTAGTGGAAATTGTTCTATAAAGAAGAGCTCCCCCACTTTTCATTTTGAGTATCATTATGAACTCATGTGCTTTTTTTTCAATTAACTATTCTATACCTTATTATAATGATAAAGTTATTCTTTCAAATGTTCCTTTTTTCCAGATTTGGCCAATGCGATCTCTGTTATTGTTTAACCACACGATGCTTTTTTATTACTAGAGTAATTTCTAATATATTTCTACTCACAAATAGGGCCTGAGAAAGGGAGTCCAGAAGGTGCGGTCTTATTCAGACTCTTCTTAGATGTCTGCCTTCTTCCTGTGTACTCTCAACCCAAAGCGAGGCTTTCGGGTTGAAAGGAGATACTTCTGAATTAAACTACAGATCATTGTCACCTAATTCTAATCCCTATTCCCTTTTTTCTAGGCATACTATATGTACTACCATCTTAGTCCTTCTGTTGGACGCCTCTCTCCTCCTCTATATTTATTTACAACAGTCAAGAGCAGCAATTGGCCAACCGGCCCCTAACCAGTTCTGCAGTCCATATGCCCCAAGAACTCCTTTTTGCACTGGTCTGTGGTGGCCTTGGCCTACCTCTTCTGCCTACTCAAGTATCTCTTTTACCATGAATTTAATTACCTATGGTTCTATTTGTAGGATCTTACGTGGCCTGCTGCCTCTGCCAATTTAAAAATATTATTGAGGTTGTCTGTAAGACATTCAAGCTACGTGGTGACAATGAATGCCTGACAGACGTAACACGTTGTGGTGAGTCTCAATTGCAGGATAATAAATTTTTCATTTTTAATTTAATATTTTAATTTTTAATCAATGATGATAAATTTTAAAATTAATGATGTAATTGCATTATTTTAATTCATTCATTCAGAGTTCCAGCTCCCTACATTTCTAAGAACTACCCCCTTGCTAAAAATCAGATTCTTGGTTACATTATTAAGCTAATAATAGCTCAGTTACATTGTTAGCTTAATAATGTAACGGATCCGCATAGTTAAAGGAACAAGAGAAAGGAATCCAAGGGGGAAGGGAATTACCATTAATGGCCACATGTTCTATGCTGTGCTCTCTGCAAATGAGAACTTATTGATATAGTGCATCACAGTTTGTAAACTGATTTTATATACATTAGGTCTCAAGTACCCTTTGTCTTATAGGACAGGTGTAAATATATTTTTGTTTACTTTGTTTGTTTCTGCAGTTTTATAAAGAGTACAAGTGATGCTGTTTTATGTCCTATTTGGAGCCTGAGAGTTTCTGGTTCCATAACAAGAAGCTGCTATCTAGTCCTTCTAATGGAATGGAGAGCTAGTTTATTCTTAGACTCTCAAGCTCTGAACTTGGTCTGAATCTCATGCTTTTCTATCCACAAAACACTCAGGGGCTTTCAGCTATTTTTGTATATATTAGATTTGTTGGCACTAACTTTTTAAAAAGCGCGGGCGCACGTTCGCTGGTGCAGTCCACTTGCGCCCTGAGCAGCGCACACGCGGTGATGTTAGGATGCTGCACTTGGTAGCTTTTGCGGTTCCCATCGGGGGTGACAAAACCTTGCTGCTGTGGGAGTTGAGCTCTGGATAAAACGGCCGAGGCCTTGCAAGTGAGACAAGCCGGAGGGGAGGGAGGGTTGGAGGAAGCCGCCCCGCGCCCCAGTAACTGGGTGCCCCGGGATACTGCTTCAGAACCTCATCTGCCTGTGGTCTCTGCTGAGAGGAATCTTAGTTCTAGAGACGACCTGAGCAGTCAACTCGTCCCCATAGATTTTTCAGACATAGTTCCCAACAGAAGGCATTGCCTCCTAATACTTCCCGAAGCTTAGGATTTCAGAGGGAAACTTGTTCATGAAATGAGAAGTGTTTGGAGTTCCAGACTCACCATAGTTACCTGTGGCGAAAGGCTGGGGGAATACAAGGGAATGGGCGGTTTGGTTTCCTGGGCCTGAAATTTACTGCACTTACTTAGCGTGGGACCGCCCTACAGCATTCTCTCTTCACAGTCTTTTCCTGGTTTGGCCTTCTGTATTCTGTCTGAGTCTTCCCAAACGCAGCAGTGGGCGGTCCTGGGTTCTCTGCCATCATCAAGTTTTATTCAGCAAGGGATGCCCACAGAGCCCAAAAGGCATGCGACCAGAAGCAGCTTTTTCACACATCTCCAGTGAAGGTGCGTCCAAACGTGGAATTCCTCGCTCTACTGGGAGGAAGTGCTGAATTTAAAACTAATAGGCCATCGGGAATTCCCTGGTGGTCCACTGGTTAGGACTCTGCGCTTTCAGTGCTGAGGGCCCGGGTTCAACCCCTAGTCTGGGAACTAAGATCCCAGGGGGGAAAAAAAAATGGCCAGCGTTTGTACAGCACTGTGGTGTGCAAAATGCTCTCAGATGCACTGCTCCACTGATCCGCCAGTTCCCTAGTGGTTTCTCCCTTTTTTTTAGATGAAGAAACGCGAATTCAGGATGGTTAAGTGACTTACTTAAGGTTCATGGCAGTAAATATGGAAACAAGAGGCCAAACCCAAACTTAACTGATGTTAAACCCCGTCATTTTATGCTGCCCCTTAATTTAAGAAATCTTCACAAGAGTCTTCCTTATATTTAGTTTTATGTGGATTTTAAATGTGTGAGGTTGACAATTTATTTTAATTAATTCATTTATTTTTGGCTGCGTTGGGTCTTGTTGCTGCACGCCGGCTTTCTCTAGTTGCTCCGAGCACCGGTTGCTCTTCGTTGCGGTGCGTGGGCTTCTCATCGCAATGGCTTCTCTTGTTGCGGAGCACGGTTTCTAGGCACACAGGCTTCCGTAGTTTTGGCTTACAGGCTGTAGAGCACAGGCTCAGTAGATGTGGCACACGGGCTTAGTTGCTCTGCGGCATGTGGGATCTTCCAGGACCAGGGATTGAACCCGTGCCCCCTGCACTGGCAGGCAGACTCTTAACAACTGTGCCACCAGGGAAGTCCCGAGCTTGACAAACTTTTGTCAGATGTAACATAAAGGAGGCTTCATCATCATCATTACTGTCAAACTGCCTATTCAGAACTCCCTTCAGATTCCAGAAAATGGTTAAAATATTCTTTAATGCATTGTAGAAACCTTATTCCATATCAACATGCCATCCAATTTTACTCCCCCAGAATTAACATTTCATTATGTACCTCCATTCAGCCACCATTCCTTTCTCAAGGACCTTTTCAATTCCTCTGAATAAGTGAGTAAGGCTTAGATTTCCCAGACCTTTCCCTTTATAATTGTGTGTCTTCTCTGATTGGCTTCTTGTTCTGGCTACTTCCTACTGACCTTGCTGCCTCTTCTCACCCATATTTCTTTACTCACTGATTTCACCTTTATTGAATCTGAGAACTCTCCTCAGATGTGACTCCAGGTACACTACCTCCCACTTCGTTACCCTGTTTAACACCCTCTTCAATCCTGGCAGTACTCCCTGGGATTGAAATGATTTTGTGTCAGACATTCTTTAATTTGCACACCCTGTGACCATTTCACATAACCACTCATATATTACAGATGGTCCTGGAAAGATTATGAAACAGTTACTTGGTATCAGTTGCGAGTAATGAGTTCTTTGCTTATATTAGATATTAAGACCATTCCATAAGCGTAGGTTGTGAGATTTTCACAGCATAAAGCCCGTCACTGATGGCGTAATGAAGAAAATGTTCTCCAAGTCACTATAGAGTTGAGAGGAAAGGGCATTCGTATTAGATTTGTTTATTTAATGCAGAGCCTTAGTTAACTACCCACAATCCTGAAATTTTTCCCTACTTTACTTATGCGTTCTTTTTCAATTTTATTTATTTATTTGCTTGCACTGGATCTCAGTTGCAGCACATAGCTCCTTAGGTGCGGCTCAAGGGCTCCCCATTTGTGTCATGTGGGCTCCCCATTTGCAGTAGGCAGGCTCCTTTTTTTGTGGCTTGCAGGCTCCTGAAATTTGGCGTGCAAACTCTTCGTTGCAGCATATATGTGAGACCTGGTTCACTGACCAGGGATCGAACCCAGGCCCCCTGCATTGGGAGCATGGAGTCTTAACCACTACACCAGCATGGAAATTCCAATTATGTGTTCTTTTATTCATTGGCAGGTATACATACTTCTTATCTTACTTCCGCTGTGTTTTTTATAAATACAGAAAAGAGAATAACATCTAAAAATAAAATCAAGGAAAGGCCTAATGTATCTGAGTTTTTCTTAGCACGAAGGGAAAGGTTTGCCAGCAAGAACTGTGGCAAGGTTATCCCAGACGTCAGCTGTCTCTACTACCCAGGGGCTCAAGCCCTTCTGAAGCTTCCTAATTGTCCAGGACAGCTCCATTATGACTCACCGTACAGGGCCTAGCATCCCATGCGACACTCAATATTTAAAAATTAATCTTCATTTCTCCTTCCCAGCAGGCAACTTCAGTCGGAGAAAGTAACTTCATTTTCTTATGTACTCATTCATTCACTCAGTCAGCAGACCATCACTCCTCTATTATATGCCAATATGTATTCTTCTTTCTGGTAACAAGGAAAGAATAATATATGGTTCCTTCAAGCACTGAAGGAGCTCATAAACTAGTGACAGAGGAAGATGCACAAACAAATCCATAAAGAATTAACAATGCTTTGATTTTATTTGTATTATTTGAATTTTTATGACTATTTTTATATACTACACGCTGTTCAAAATGGAAATGGACATCTAAGAAAGAACTAGTGATATAAAAACTCCACAGTAATATGTAAGTTCTTTAGAGAGTTAAGACTGGAAATATTTGCACTCTCAAGCCTGTTAATGCAGATGAACCTCTAATTCTTTTCGTTGCTTTATTTACATTTATAGAGGTATACATATTCCCTCTTCTAACAGGGGTTAGTAACTTGGGAAGGGGGTGCTACAGATTCAGGTCCTAATTCAGTGGCAGGTCCGTCTTATCTACTCTTCAGGTCATATTCTCAAGCAGGAGATACAGGATGAGGCGAGTAAAACAGTTCACTTCCTTTGCTTACCCCCAGCCCCATAATAGGCTTCTCCTGGGCTTCCTTGGTTCTTTCATCATCACTTTCACCACCAGAGGTCAGAGAACCTTCCAGTTAATCAGGGGTCCTGGAAATGATGCAGAAAAATACTGACTGAAAAATAATAAATAACATTTATTTAGGGATCACTGTGAACTCATTGCTTAAAATGTCCTACTTAATCTTCACAACCACTCTGTAAAATTGGTATTGATAAATCTCAGGTGTATCGAAAATGAGTCTCTATGTAGGGTCGTGATATTTTTAGGTCTTTTATGTCTTTAGGTTCATCTCGGCACCAGACATAAGGCGGTTCAACATAATACACTTGCCCTAAAGAGCTCCAGATGCCAAGAATTGGCAAATTACTACTTTGGTTTCCGTGGGTGGTGAAAAAGGATCATCAAGGTAAACTCTGTAGATTTTCTTTGACTAACCAGACGCCTTTCGACATTGAACTCCTAGACTTTAGAGAGCAGAATAGAACAGGGCTATGGGGAGGAGATGTGGGAGGGTTCCACATGGAAGTATCTGAGCATTGGCCTGCCACCTAGAATTAGTGATAATCTCAATGACTTGGATGGTGCTGTCCATAATTTTCTCCAGTATTTGTATGGTATATCATAAAAAAATAGTTGTCCATATCTAGTCATTCATTTGCAAGTCTCAGTTGATTTTGAAGGGATAGCATACCTAAACTATTACTTGGGATTGCTGGAGTTTGGTATTTATTTCTAACAACAGAATATGTTGAAATCTAGCCTTTAATTCAAAATCCTAACAACTTCAGGATCTTTCTAACATTGAAGAAAGGGAAAATACAGATATTGTGACACCACTTCAGAAGCAAAGCCTGAAGTTCTTCTGTGCTTTAGAGGTGGTTTTGCCCTCCCACGAGTGCAGGAGTCCCTGGGTTGGCATGGCTGAGGAACCTTTGGATAAGTTGGAGGAAGGTCTGTTTTCCAGTATGTGTGTGGTGGGAGAGGTGAGGGAGTGGGAGTTCTCTTTTTTCCTTTCTTTCTGAATCTCAACTTTTCAGATACATCATCACCTAAGCAACTAAAGCCCTGGGCAGAATTTTTCTGCCCGACACTATAGGTTTTTATCTTAGGCAATACCTGACAGCACCTTAATCTTTAGAAATTTGGAACTCACTGCCTGCCAAGAAGCTTAGGAGGAGGGAAAATTAGGAATGTTTTTATTTTTTGGTTAATAATTATTTTTGTGCTAAAATAGTCCTTCAAATGCACGTCTTCTGGCCTTCAGTTATCCCAACAAAATCATTGTCTAAAGCTTGAAATAAACTCTTGTGTAAATGTTCAGTCCTTTGCCTCCTGTAAAAGGGCTTGAGCAGAATAATTAAATGTAGATTCCTAGAAAGGGGATTCCGATTGGTACTGAGTTTTTTCCTAGAATCCATGGCACTTGGGCTTAGGGTTATAAGTCAGAGGCAGGGCTGTTAGCGAATGGGGTGGAGGAGGCTCCACCATCCACCTGAGTGGGTGATGGTTGAGTAGAGGCAGGATCATCTGCACTACAACCAAATCTATCTCACTGTATGAATCCAGCCCTTTACACAGAGGAGAGCAGGGTCTGTAGCAGTGTAGCCTCAGCTTGTCCATTTGAAATCTGTGAGTAATATGAGATTTGTGCCACGTTTTTGGTTTGCATTTCCCGTCTAGTATTTTAGGAACTTCCAGAATAGATCCGAGCAGTAAACATGTGCCATGCCAGGGTATACCTGCAACGGAGACATTCACCCATAGCCCAGTGTTGTGCCTGCCCTTAATCACTAAGGTAATGATCTAAGGATCACAGATGCATTTTTAGTTTTAAACGTATAACCTAGAAATCAGTTATTCATATAGGCATTTTAAATTTATCTGTTTTGGTTGGATTTGGGGTCATTATCATTCCTTATGGGAAGGAAGGTAACCCAGAAGCTTGCTATTCAGAAAGCTATGACAGATGCATTCCAGAAATTACTGAATGTGGTTTTAGGTAAGACCTTTTTGATTGTCGTTGGAGTACTTCAGTTTCAGTGAGCAAATAAACTTATTTGAAAAGTTAATTGGATGAAAATAATGGTTATCTAAAACATTACATATTCTTTCATTCACCAGATGCTTTCACAGCAGCAGTCTTACATTTGTGCTTTGTGGCATTTATGAGAAAAATGACAGCAAATATTATTGTCCCCAGTGTTTAGATGTAGAGTCACTTGCCTCAGTTCATACAGAAAGTGTTTGATCCACTTCTTCCTCAGTTGCTTGCTTCTCATACAGAGTAGTGTAGTGATTATAAGCCTTGGACACCTGTGTTTGAGTCCTAACTTTGTCTCTTAGATTTTCTTGTTGTTGTTCTTGCAATTTTAGATTTTTGTAGCCAGAGACATTTGTAGGTATTTAATATCTCTAAGCTGCAATTTCTTTATCTGCAAATAGGGTTAGTAATTCAGCTTACCACCAAATGGGGGATATTGTAAGAGTAAATGGGATAATGAACCTAACAAGCTTAGAGCTATGCCTGAAACATAGTAAGCAGACAAAATATATTGACTATTATGATTACTGCTGTTTTCTTGTTGAAAAGTTTATTAGATTATGTTTTTGGAATCAGTTTAATTTCAGTTTTCATTTCTGATGTATTGGGTGAATATGATTCTTATATAATAATCGGCTACGTTTTGTAAACCTTGAAAATGGTCATGCGATTGAATAGCGTTGGTTTTGTTCCCTGTTGAGTTATGCAGCGGTGAGAATGGCACAAGCTGTGCCCAAAGGAAACTTTATGATTAGTAGATCCCTGGAACAGAGCTGCTCCCCTGCTTCACAGCCCTGCAGGCTTAGAGACTGAGAAATCCTAGCTAAGTTGTCAGAGACCTTATTTGCTTGTAAGAGTTGACCCTGGATTGGTCTTGGCTTTCCAGCCTGGGCAATCTTTCCAGTGAAGTTTGATTTCCCTGGTCATCAGGCAGAATCTCCATCAGCTGTCAACTCTGGGTAACAACCTTTAAGAACCAAACGAAATGACTGGGTTGTGTGTGCCTAATATGCCAAGGCACTCCTTATATGTACCCAAAACCCCTTAGACCAAAAAGCCTGGTGGCCCTAACTTGCCTCGAGGAAAGCTGTATTGTGCAAAATGTACATGGGCCAGTTTCTGCCAGTAGAGTGTTCAAATGCTCCCTCTCTCTGTCTCTGTCTCTAAAGCTATGTTCATTTTATCTGGTAGAATTTTTGTCCCAAGGAGTAGGCACTTGCCTTGCTTCTAATAGGAAGTATGTATTATAGTCCTGGTATCTCTCCCAGGTTGGAACTCACTTTGACTCCCACCTAATGCCTACCTATTTAATTGTATTGTGATTGAACATGTTTTTTCCACAGCTTTTAATATCTATGTCCTTATTCCTTAGTCCTCATTTCTAAGATCATAAATTTTTGAACCCAAGTTGATACTTCTTATATATGTTTTCACAAATAATTATGATAAAAACTGAAGTGTCAGTTGAGGGAACTTCTAGGAAAATGCTCTTATTTTCTGCTTCTAGAAGTCAAAAGAATGTCTAATTATTTGGCGCTACCATTGTATATAGGAAGTTTAAGAACAAGAAAACTTCTGAATCGATCCTTGTTAATTTTATTACAGAAAGTGGTAAAACAGCTGTGGCATATAGACCCTGTGAAGAGGTCACAGATGCTAGAACCGAAGAGGAACTACAGGATTTAATTCAAGTATGTGGAGATAAAAGCTCAAGGGGTACACAGCCAGTGTAGCCATAATTCAAAACAACCAGCAGGATATGGAAGACTTCAGCATATCTACTCAACTCTGTGTTCCTTAGGAAAAGGTGAAACTCTGAAACTGCTTTTGAGGCAGGAAATTTCTAGGACTTTTCCAAGTTCTGAGCCTTGTCTCCGGCCCCTTATTTGAAGTTTGGAGAGCAGGATTGAGGGCCACCAGTGTACGTCTACAGTTGCGGACACAGGCCCTTTAGAACTCCCCTCAATTAGAATTGCAGGGATTTGGGAACAAAGTAACTATGGTCTTAAGTGTGATTATGCTACACTGTTTAAAAACAATTCATGCCTTTCAAGTAAGGTGTATTACCCAGATCTCATATATATCTTGTGTTAAATAATTTGCCAAAGAACCTTTCTGTAAAGAAGTTATATGGATACCTCGAATTAGGGATTAAGTTGTCAACGTAATTTCTAAAAGAAAACATTAATGTACTGCATATAGGATTTTTATTTAAAATGAGCAAAAAATGGGTTTCATGCCATTGAGAGCTTAATTTTTGCCTAGATTTCTGATTATTTAACTCACCCCAATGTTGCAAAGTTTGTTTTGAAGGGAAGAAAGTAGAGAAAGAAAAGGTGGTTATGTTCTGAAAAATGAAAAATTTTTGAACGTTTTTCCCATACAAAATAATTATTTCGATTCAATTTAAATCAGTCAAGGAAACTTGAAACGTATCCATGTTTGGGCTTTAAGAAGTCTAGCTTCCTATGAAATGTGAGAGGAAAGGGTTCCATATTGATACTAAAGATTCTGGAAACCTGATTATAACAACAGATCCACTCCTAAATGAGGCCAATCTTGGAATCAGTTCCATTTAGAAACCATCATGTGCTAGGCACTGGAAATAAGGTGAAGCTCCTTCTCTCTTGGAGTTTAGGTGTTAAAGGTGTACCAGAAAATTAAAAAGGAGTAAAATTAAATAGATTATGAAAAGGACTGTGAAGAAAGTAAACTGGGTGCTAGTTAACAGTATTTCAAGAAAATTACTTAACATGCTGACTTTAACATTCTAAGTATCTTCTCCATGTGTGCACACAGGGTAGACCTCTGAAAAGTGACACTGTAGTTTTTTCTAGATTAATGGCTCTGTTGAGACAAGGTGGGATGTGGGACATTTTCCCATGCTAATGTAAAGGGCCATTCACTTGGTTTTAAACTCTTTCCCAGAATGAATTGCTCACCTGCCCCAGACCCCTCCTACAGAAATTCTGGAGTCATCACTGATTCAGTAGTGACCCCCTAATAATAGAGTGGTGAATGAATCATGAGACGTAAATACTGAGAGTTTGGAGGAAGTGGCAACATTTTAGCATAATTGTAAGGAGTGTTCCCCTCCTGCCACCCTAACTGGTGCTCATTTTGCAGGTCACCTACTTTTCATGTCAGCCATTTGGCCAAAGGGAGGAAGAATGTCTCTCAGACTTCAGCTTTGAGGAGGAAGAGTTCAGATTGTCAGAACTGGACTAGCACTTTTGAATTTCCCAGAATGCCAGGTCCTTTGGTTTCCACGGGAAGCTCTGCATTGTTCCCAACACCCCTCAACCCCTGGGCTGCCGGAGTTTGGGGCCACTCGGGTCTGCAGCCCAAATCCCGCCTCATTGTTTGGGGCCCGGGTGCGCAGGGTGGATTTGGGAAGAGGGCCCAGCAGGAGGTAATTGTCACCTTTGCAAGGGGAAGGATGGCTTGCGCCCTGTGGACTCTGGCAGAAAGTCCCACTCTGGTGGCGCAGATTGGATCTCCGCACGAGCCTAATAACGGTGGCGTAACTAAAGACGTCATAAATAACGGGTGGGATGTTTTGCGGGGCCGGGCCGCGCGGTTGCTAACGTGAGCCCTCGCGTCACGGCACTGGCATAGCAGTTCGGTTTGGCTCTGAAGGAGGATGTGGCTCCGGCTCCTCACTGGCCTGGGTCACTGTGCCTGGGAGCCGCCGCATGTTATGTCGCGGCTGCGCCTCTGTGTCGTGGCTGCACCCCACGGCTCTTCCTCACATGGCAACAACGGTCGCTTCTAGTCCAGGCAGTTCAGCCTCCGGAGTGGGCCATGGGCCCCGTCCAGGTGATCCCCAACCCCGCACGGCTGACCGAGGCTTTGTCTTCAGATGCCTAAGAACGCTTCCCAAATTGCCCCATGCCCTTACATCCCTTGCAGAAGCCGGGGGCTTTAACTACTTGACGTCCTAGTCTCCAGTCCAGATGTTGGCCCCACCTCATCAGGATTTGAGTGAGACTGAGGTTCCGTACCCGGACACGGATTCGGTTGGAGAGCTGCCTATAGGGCCAGATCAGTTTGCTGTTCCCCATCAGGATCTGAATAACAAGCAAACCCAACATCAAAACCTCCCAGAGGCAGTTCCAGTTCTAGACTGGGATCAGAATTAACCCTTGGTTCTTCCTTCTGGACACAAAAGTAAGACTAAAAACATAGGTCTAGGTCACGCTGAAGGTCACTAGTCATTTAAAATACTTGTTCCACCTCTAGGTAGTAAGAGGTCAAAACCAATGAAGTTTATTGTTTCACCCCCAAACCTGAAGAAAGATCTAGTTCAGCATCAACGGCTTGCCAAAGTTGTTGTTGGAACTACAGGCCAATTTTGAAAAAAACACTCGGGGTCTAGAACGACAGTTGCAGGGTTGTTGTTTGGATACTAGTATGGATGCCATTTAACCTGAGGAGAAGCGACCTAGGGATTTTTTTAGGAGCCCAGATAAAACTATGGAGCCCCAAGAGGAAGCTGAAAATTCTCCATCCCAGCAGGAGGCCCGAGCTCCTCATCCAGAGTTCATTGAGGAGGCTGAAACTTTACCCCAGCAGGAGCCCCCTGCTTAGCATCCACAAAGCCCTGAGGGGGTTGAATCTTTTTTCAATCTTTCAATCTTTTGAAGTTCTGCCGCTTGTCCTGTGCTTTAAAGAAGACTCCAGTCTACCTGTTGAAACCTGTTTCTTGCAATTCTGCCTTGGTTTCGAATCCTCTTCGTTGACTTACCTCAATATATTTTTAGACGAAACTTGCCCTTCTTAACTCTGCAGGTTTGTGAATTACAGTGCCCCTGAGCTCCATTTTCAACTCGCTTTTTTGTGAGCTGGTCACAAAACCACAGGACTGCTTCAGGCCCTATTCTTTTTCCGGGGCAGCAGGCTGAGCCTTTGGTTAATTCTTACTCCTGATGGGACATTAGAGTGGCATGAGCCTGTCCAAACACCTACAGCTGTTCTCTCATTGGTTCCCCCCATACCTTTCATGCTCCGCAGTAACTACAGACTGTACGAAACAGGAGGTTAAATGCGCTGATTCTCCAAATGGGGAGATTGTTAGTAAAGCGGCTGGAATGGCGAACCCTAGCACCAGGAGAGGAAAAATGAGGTGCGATTTAGAAACCTTTCTCGATCGCACGGTGTACCATCCTCTGGGTTTCCTATGCATGTTTTAGCTGTAGGAAGATTCCCTTAAACCTGGAGAGGTGGGACCCATGGAATGTGAAGCGCACAGTATTGCTTTAAAGGGTCTGCATTTGCTCACCCAACCTCACAAATCCTCTCAGCTCCAAGTGTCCAGGTTTATGTCTCATCCAGCTGTGGGGGTAGATAGGGTCAATCTAGGGTGCATCACAGCCCTTGAACGAATTTTGTAAGAATTTTCTCTCACTCTCTTTGTGGTTTTTTGTTTTTTGAAATTTTTTTTATAATGGGGTTTAGCTGATTTTCACTGCAATGTTTCTGCTGCTCTACACACACTCGATTCCCTTACGGAGACATATGAATACATAGGTTTTAAGATTCTTACTAGTCAGATATATTCCTCTGCGGTACATAGGGGATGTTGAGTCCGCTTCATTGAGCAAAGTGTAGGTCTTGTTTATTACATATTTGGTTTATGGAACAGTATCTGTGCTAATTGCAAACTCTGGTTTTATGCATCACCCCACCTCAGGTTTCCCCTTAAGCAGGCATAAGTGCGTTTTCTAAATGTGTGACTGTGTTCTGTTCTGTAATTCAGGTCATGTGTAGCCATGTTTACATTCCCTCTGTAAGTGATATCTTATGATATGTTTCTTTTCCTGTGTGACTGCTTTCCCTTAGAATCATCGTACCTGAATCCGCTCAGTATGCTGCTGCTGGCCTTATGACATTGATTTCATGGCTCAGTGATATTCCATTGTACATAAGTATCACAACTTCTTATCCATTTTTCTCTTTCATGGGATATTTCAGGTGTACCGAAGTCGAGGATTTTGTAAACAGAAGAGCCCTAAACTTTGGGGTGGCTGTGTCTTGTTGATTTTTAACTTTCCCAAGATACATGCCCATGAGTGGGAGTGCCCTATGCTCTGTAGTTCTGTTTTTGAGACGTTTCAGGAAACACCATACACTTCTCCAGAGTGGCTGTTGGCAATTTACATCCCACCCATGAGGTTAACAAGGCTCCCTGTTCTCCATGGCCTGTCCTGCCTCTCTGGTGTTTACATTTTTTCCAGATGGCCCTTTGGAGCGATTGGAAGAGAGACTTCTTTGTTGTTCGGATTTGCATTGCCCGCTTGCTTGGTTGGTCAAAAAGAACGCATGCGTTTTCTCCTGAATATATTCAGGAATAAACGCATACGCCCTTTTTGGCCAACTGCAACATTGTCGAAGTTCTGCCGCTTTCTCATGCGCTTTAAAGAGACTCCACTCTACCTGTTGAAACCTGTTTCCTGAGATTCTGCCTTGGTTTCAAATCCTCGTCGTTGCCTTACCTCAATATATTTTTCGACGAAAGTTGCCCTTTTTAACTCTGCAGGTTTGTAAATTACAGTGCCCCTGAACTCCATTTTTCAGCTTGCTTTTTTGTGAACTGGCCGCAAAACCACAGGATTGCTTTAGGCCCTATTCTGCTTCCGGGGCGGCAGGCTGAGCTTTTGGTTAATTCTTCCTCCTGATGGGAAATTAGAGTGGCATGTGCCCGTCGAAACCCCTACAGCTATTCTCTCATTGGTTCCCCCTCATACCGGTCATCCTCCGCACTAATTGCCGACTACGCGAAACAGTAGGTTTAAGGCGCTGACTCTCCAAATGTGGAGATTGTTAGTAAAGCGGCTGGAATGACGAACCCGAGCACCAGGAGAGGAAAAATGAGGTGGGTTTTAAGAAACCTTTCCCGATCACACGGTGTACCATCCTCTGTGTTTCCTATGCATGTTTTAGCCGTAGGAAGATTCCCTTAAACCTGGAGAGTTGGGACCCATGGAATGGGTGGCGCGCAGTATTTCTTTAATGGGTCTGCATTTCCTCACCCAACCTCACCAATCCGCTCAGCTCCAAGTGCCCAGCCTTAGGTCTCATCCAGCAGTGTGTGTAGATAAGTTCAATTCACGGTGCATCACAGCCCCTGGAAGAATTTTGTAAGAATTTCACTCTCCATCACTGTGTTTTCTGGTTTTTTGAAATTTCTTTTTATAATGGGGTTTTGCTGATATTCACTGCAGTGTTTATGCCACTCTACACACACTTGATTCCCTTACTGAGACATATCAATACATAGGTTTTAAGCTTCTTACTAGTCACCTATATTCCTCTGCGGTGCATAGGGGGTGTTGAGTCCAGTTCATTGAGCAAAGAGTAGGTCTTGTCTATTACATATTTGGTTTATGGAAGGGTATCTGTGTTAATTTCACACTCTGGTTTTATGCATCACCCCACCTCGCCTTTCCCCTTAAGTTGGCATAAGTGTGTTTTGTAAATGTGTGACTCTGTTCTGTTTTGTAATTCAGCTCATGTGTAGCCATGTTTACATTCCGTCTATAAGTGATATCTTATGATAAGTTTCCTTTTCTGTGTGACTTCTTTCACTTAGAATCATCGTACCTAAATCTACTCATTTTGCTGCCGCTGGCCTTATGACATTGATTTCATGGCTGAGTGATAATTCCGTTGTACATAAGTACCAGAATTCCTTTATCCATTTTTCTCTTTCCCGGGATATTTAAGGTGTACCGAAGTCGAGGATTTTGTAAACAGAAGAGCCCTAAACTTTGGGTTGTCTGTGTCTTGTTGATTTTTCATTTGCCCAAGATACATGCCCATGAGTGGAAGTGCCCTATGCTCTGTAGCTCTGGTTTTTACATGTTTCAGGAAACACCATACACTTCTCCAGAGTGGCTGTTGGCAATTTACATCCCACCTATCAGGGTAACAAGGCTCCCTGTTGTCCATGGCCCGTCCTGCCTCTCTGGTGTTTACACTTTTTTCAGATGGCCCTTTGCACCGGTGGGAAGAGAGACTTCTTTGTTGTGCGGATGTGCGTTGCCCGCTTGCTTGGTTGGCCAGAATGGGCGCATGCGTTTTTTCCTGAATATATTCAGGAATAAACGCATACGCCCTTTTTGGCCAACTGCATCATTGTCAAAGTTCTACCGCTTTTCATGTGCTTTAAAGGAGACTCCAATCTACCTGTTGAAACGTGTTTCCTGCGATTCTGCCTTGGTTTGAAATCCTCTTCGTTGCCTTACCTCAATATATTTTTCGACGAAAGTTGCCCTTCTAAACTCTGCAGGTTTGTAAAT